TTCTCGGACCACATCCACTCAATGTGCAGCGGCCGTCAAAAAAGCAAACAGAGTGTTGGGAATCATTAGGAAAGGGAAAGATAAGAAGACAGAAAATATCATATTGCCCCTATATAAATCCATGGTGCGCCCACCTCTTGAACACTGCTTGCAGATCTGGTCACCCCATCTCAAAAAAGATCTATTGGAATTGGAAAATGTACAGTGAAGGGCAACAAAAGGGTGAGGGGGATGGGACAGCTTCTGTATGAGGAGACATTAATAAGACTGGGAATTTTCAGGTTGGAAAAGAGATGACGAAGGGGGTGCACCTGTCAGCTAATTTCTAAGTTGTTATCTCCCAAAAAACCTAGAGTTTTCAGGTGCCTGAGTAGCTCCTCGAATCAAGGTTAAAGTTGCCCCCACCCCCGACATCTAAAATGGTGGCGCTGCCAGACACACAGCAAGAGACAGCCGAGATCTTGGCCCCGTCATGCCGGGTGCTGAACAAACACAGCCGGAGACAGTCCCTGCCCCTAAGAGTTTACAAACAGACAAAAGGTGGGAGGGGAAATGGAGGCACAGAGCGAGACCCCAAGCAGGCCAGAAACACACCCTGTGCCTCCTGACTCCAAAGCTAGTGGGATAACAAACCGCATCCCTCGCTTCCTCTCTCAGTCTTTTATCTCTGCTTCCTTGTTCACCGTTCAGCAGCAGGCTCCGTGCCGCCTGGGATGGGGCGCTCCCGGGGGGCTGCACAGGTCCTGGCATCTCAGCTCAGCGGCGCTAGCCTACAGGAAAAGAAAATCTGGGCCTGGCAGCTCTGCCATCTGTGTGGTCTGCTGCGGGAGCTACTGCTCCTTTCCCTGCAGCCCTAGGGACGCATTTTCACAGTGGGGGCAGAGCCAGGGGTGCGCAAATTTCTGCATCCTCCTGTTCTCCTCTGTCCCAAGCCTCCCGCCAGAGTAGCCTGGGGACCTCGAGAAGACGGTCGCTGATAGAAACACTGTGTGTATCGCTATTAATGCTGTAGGTTTCCCGCCTAGGAAATGGGTTTGAGTCCCTCCCTCACTGTTCAGTTTGCGTCATATCTCCCTCGGCGCCCTGAGCCAGCCAGTCCCCACTGGGGGCTGGATTGGGGCCGGCGCCTCCTAGAGGGGAAAGGCCCCGTTTCCCGTTCCCCACTTCCCGAGCCAGCCAGTCCTCTCCTCAATAGGTCATTTCAAGCAATAGCACTACAGACCACGTGATAGCTGATGGTTTATACCTTTAAAAGGTAATTGCTTGACCTGCTCACACGGGCCAGTGTGACTCTACTGTAATGTGTATGTTCAGTAGTCTGTGTGTTCTCCTCTTGTCAGACTTGTTTTATACTCCACTAAACATGCGTGTTTTGGGATTAAGCGTCTGTGTTTCCGAACCTCGTCACTCACAGAAGACTTTGCATTAATTCAGAATAGTCTATTGAGCAGTTGTGACGAAGTGGGGGGTTTTCTTGTTTTCTGTGGAGTTTCAATGGTTTGCATGCGGAGGGGGTGGGACTCAGTTTCCCTGGGTGTTACTGGTTTTAACGAGGGGAGGGGGGAGGGAGTTTGTTTTGCAGAGGACCGGAGAGAGGACGTGGGGACCCAGCCGGTGGCCTGGAGGATGGATACCCCAGCGACCGGTGACCTGGCGACCTGGTGCAATGGGCTGCAGAGTGAGGACCCTGTGACTTAACCAGCCGGTTCCGGCCAGAGGACAGAAGAGGGGAGCGGAGGCCCCGGTTTACGACCCTGTTTACCTGGAGAGAAGACAATGGACAGAGGCGGGGCCTGGGGCCAGGGGTATCAGATGCCCAGCTGGGAGCAGGGGGGGCTCAGGGCTGGAGAGGGGGAGCAGGCAGAGCCCACCTGGATGCAGAGAGACTGGGATGTGCTGGGCTGAGGGAGGCCAGGCCTGAGGGTCAGAGAGTTTCCTGTGCTGTGTTCAACTCTCAATAAACCCTCCTGTTTCATGCTGGCTGAGAGTCACTCCGCTCTAGAGAACAGGGTTGCATCAACCCCTTCGGGGGTGGAGGCCCCCGGGGGTCCAGAGCGAGTGGACTCCCTGAGATGGCCCACAGCAGAGACAGACGTGCTAAGGCTCAGAGAGGTGCGGCTCCAGGAGGTGGAGGGGCCTGACCCCGAGAGAGAGTGGACCCCCGAGAAGGGCTGTCGCACTGAAAGGGGCACCCCCCCCACAGACCGCACGGGGCCAAGAGTGGGCACGATCTGTGAGTCCGTGACAGCAGTATAAACAAGTCATTGTATGACATTTTAGTTTGCACTGACTTCGCTTTTCTGTAGCCTGTTGTAAAACTAGAAAACGTCTAAATGAGTTGATATACCCCCTGGAAGACCTCTGGGTACCTGTGACAGGGCAGAGTGGCCCCGCACTGGTACCGCAGGAGTTAACCCTTTCTTCCTAGCACAGGAAGCCACGCCCCGAAAGCTCTGCTGGGCATGCTCCAACTGGAGAACAGGTATAAAAGCCGGCAGACCAGCTCAGTCAGGGCTGACCGCCAGAGGAGAAGGACACACGCACGCCGCTAGCTCCTGAAGAGGGAGAGCCTGCGCGCCAGGATCCAGGAGACAGCCAAGCTAAGGCACTACCTGAGACCTCGATGGAGGATGTCCCAGGGGAGGACCAGACCGGAGGACCCCCCGCAGCAGATGAACTGGTACTCACGGTAGGAAGTGACCCAGGGGAACTCTAGAGACAAACGGCGTTAGAGCTGTATTGACGCTCGGCGTGTTGCGGGCGGATCCCCGCCGAGTGAGTGGCAAGGAGAGCTTGCCACTACCAGGGACCTGGGTCGGGGCTCAGTGGAGAGGGCGGGCCCGGGTCATCCCTACCCCCTTACCCCTGAACCGTGAGGGATCCTAGAGACTCCGGCCACGAGGCTGCGCTACCCCCTGCTCGTAAGGAGGGGGTGTATGGACTCTGGCTGCTAGCCCGCGCTACCCTGCTCGTAAGGAGGGGGTGTATGGACTCTGGCCGCTAGCCCGCGCTACCCTGCTCGTAAGGAGGGGGTGTATGGACTCTGGCCGCTAGGCCGCGCTACCCCACTCAACAGAGCCGATGGGGGGGGGGGAAGGACGCCGTAGCCGACCGCCCGCAGGGAGGCGGACGTAAGGGGTGCTGCGGTCCCAGGCTCGCCACAGTACCCCTGGTTGAGAATCACTGGTCTGTGATGTCCCACAATGGCCTGTTTGGAACAATAAGCCTTCCTGATGGGCAGGAGATAACCCCTCCCGGGGCAAACCAGTATTTCACACCTCATGAGGTTTCTTTCCTGACTGGATTTACAGTTTCAGAGCAAACATTTTTACAGAGCCCTCAAATATTACCTTGTATATCGCAGGGGATACAGACATTAAAAGTGAGATTCACGCAGGCAGCAACTCACAAGTATTTCCTAACGTCTGAACACATTTTTGTATGCTTAACAGCTATATTAACAGTCCTCACACACAGACTGGTTTCCAGCTACGAATTTGTTAGGGCTGAGGCCTAGAGTCTTGGCATGAGCTGGCATCTGGTCTGCCAGTGTCACACCTGCCTCCAGCCGAGATTGGATTGGTTGGTTTTTTTTCATGCATTACAGACAAATTGATTTCTTGGTGATGTTGTTTTGACTTTTACTCTTCTCCCTCCAAAGCCTTTGCCAGGACTCTTTGGGTATCTTCAGCAAGGTCGCTTATAAAGTTATTAAGCATAAACACTGTTGTGCCAAAAGAAACCTGTGCAGAAAACAGTGACCCGACCACTGGCATACTCCAGGCAAAGTAAGTCAGATACGTCACTCCCTCACCTGCACACTTCTCCAGCAGCTTCAGTACAAGGTCAGTTGTTATTTCTGTGGCCAGTGGAGACCTTATCACGGCCTTCAGATCTTCCTCCCGCTTCCCAACCTGCTCAGCGAGTGCAGAGAGGGAGTCAGAATTCAGGCCAAACTTTTTGCAGTAATTTCTCATGCAATCCACCAAGGCAGCTGTGTCGGCAACAAGAGAAAGACCCGGAAGAAGAATTGCACGAGGACCGCCCGACAAGGTAGCTGATTTCCGTGTGGTCTTCTGCATGTCTGTTTTCTTCTCTTGCAGGGTCCTGCATGAGATATCTAGCAGGTTTTGAAACATAGCATGGCAGAGTTCTTTATCCAGTTTCTCCTTCAGGAGGGGAAAATCATGCTTGTCAGATTCCCAGCTGGAGAGGAGAAAAACCTGAGGGTCATTCACTCCTGCTCTTTGTAGATGGGCTTGACAGTTTTCTCTGATCTGCTGCAGGGTTCTCGCCTCACTAAAGTTTATTTTTCTCTTTTCAGCCCCCAAGTCTTGGTCCACTTTGGAGCGCACAAAATAAAACTTCTTCATGTTCTCCTGGATCTTCCGTGCCAGGTTGGCATGGATATGTCTGAAGCGTGTAGCAGTGACAATAAGGAAAAAATCATATCCTGAGAAGTATGTATCAGTCATCTTGTGTTCAACTGACTGAAAATGTTGTGTTCCAATTCCTGGAAGATCCCATAAGAAAACGTTAGGGTATTCAGGATGTGAATATAGGGTTGACCAATCTGTTGTTTCCACCATCCCGACCTCAGCGGCGCCTATATCATCATCAGCTAAGCCCAGGAAGGCATTGATAAACGATGACTTTCCAGAGCCCGACTCTCCAACGACGGCAATGTTGAATAATCCGGGTGACTTCATCATCCGCTGCGCTATCGAAGCTGCTTCTTTAAGGTTTCCTCCTTGGACAGCAGCTTTGAATTCTTCTTCGCTCATAGTGGGAGATTTATTCCCAACCACGACTGGGTCAATGGACATTTACTGAGCCTTCCTGGGAGCTGCTCAATCGACCTCAGCTGCCTGCCTTTTAAAAGGAGAACAAATATTTCAGTTATTAAAAATAAATGGAATGAATCTCCCGTGTGACCCTGCTGTTATATCTACCATACGTCCTCAAGACCTAGGCCCAGATCCTGGAGCTACGGCTGTTTTATCCCAGCTGGGAATCTGTCCCCAGTCTCCCCAGTGGAACTACGGCCCATTGACCCCAGCTGGGATCTGGCCCCATTGACTCCAATGGAGCTACGGCCCATTGACCCCAGCTGGGGAGCTGCCCCTTAATTATTGTATTATTAGGACTATTATATTTTGGCCAAGCAAAGTGAGGTCCTACATGCAACTTGATGGCATTTCTCTGTTTGTCTGTCCATTGGACAAGCAGAATGGGGAAATAGACACACTGGGTTCGTCTACACGGCAATAAGACACCCATGGGTGGCCCGTGTCAGCTGACTCGGGCTCCGGGGGCTTGGGATGAGGAGCAATAAAATTACAGTGCAGACGTCTGGGCTTGGGCAGGATCCCGGGCTCTGGGCCCCGCGGGGGACACGGACCAGCTGCAGATGTTTTATTGCAGTGTAGACATACCCACTGAGTCATCGGCGCCGACTCTGTGGGTGCTCCGGGGCTGGAGCACCCACAAGGAAAAATTGGTGGTTGCTCTGCACCCACCGGCAGCTCCCCGCCCAGCTCACCTCCGCCTCCGCCTTTTCCCCTGAGCACACCATGTGCCCGCTTTTTCCCCCTAGGTCCCAACACTTGTGCCTTGAAACAGCTGTTTCGCCCAGCTGGGAGGGAGGGGGGAGAAGGGGGAACTCGGCACGCTTGGGGAAGAGGCGGGGCTGGGGCGGGGATTTGGGGAAGGAGTCTAATAGGGGCAGGGAGGAGGTGGAGTTGTGGCAGAGACTTTGGGGAAGGAGTTGGAATGGGGACAGGAGTGGGGAAAGGGTGGAGTCGGGGCAGGGCTGGGGGTGAGGGGGCGCGAGCACCCACCGACTCGTGCTGGGAGGCAGTTTCCCCCCAGCCCCACAAGCCGGCTTCTGGCCCCCACAGACCTTGGGTGCAGCCCCTCCCCCCCAGGGCTAATGCCCCACCACGGGGGGCTGCATAGGGCACCACAGTATCTAGGGATGGCCCTACTGGGCCCCTCCAGGCATGTAAGTCCGGAGTGGGGCAGGCCGAGCTCCCGCTCTGTCCTGGCCGGTTCTGCCGTTTCCGAGGGGCCAGAGGGATCCTTGCCCGGCCCCAGCAGTGCTGCGGGATCAGCCCATGCATGAACATAGGCACTTCCAGCCGGCCCCCCGGAGAGCGTGGCTGGGGGGCAGGAAGGGCGCGGGGCAGTGGGTCTGTGGGGGGTCTGTGGGGGGCGAGTGGGAGTTCTGGGGAGGGTACTCCTGGGGGAATGG